ATATAGTTTCTTTATATTATTTCTGTAATTTTCTTTCTTTATGTACTTTTTTACTAAAAGGCTAATTTAATTTCAAAAGACGTTATAAAAGCCAATATAGTGTGAAGAGTATTTGCCATTGTCTGTTTATTTTCTGTTTCTCTAAATTTCGCCAGAAACAGTTTTATAAAAAAAGTGTCTACCTGAACATTTTAGTAAATAATCTTTCTTTTTGTGTTACATAAATCAGTCAGCAATATTCTGTAACATGAATTTTATTCGGGAAGTTTGCCAACAACATTCTGCATAAATATAGTATGAGTTTTGTTAGCCAAGAAGTGCAAGAAGTAAGAAATTAGCTGAAAAGTTTTAGCCAAAAACTAGCTGCTTATAATAGTACAACACTGCTAAACTACAAAACTGAAGGTCGTTACAGATTTTCGAGCCGCCATTTTGCACGAAAAACATGTATCCAAAAATTATTTTCTTTGTGCTTTTTAGAACTACCTAATCTTTTAAATCTTGGAAATAATATTTAGAAAAGCAGAAGTACTACAGTAACACTTATTGCTTATTTTGTAATTTTTGCAACAACTGATGTGATTTTAATCTAGATTTTTCATTTATGAATTGTGTTTCAACTTATGTTTATCTTTTATTTTAATTCATTTTATTTAAATATGTTTACTTAATGTAAGCAATTTTAAATTTAGACGTGTGAATTAAGTTAGGGGTATTTTCTAGGCTTTCTGAGATTTAATTAGAATAAATTAGATATAGTATATAAATTTTTAATATTCTCTCAAATAGTACAGAATGACAGAACAGTTAATGAGTACCGTTAAATGTTAGCTAATAATTGAAAGGTCTAATGAAAAAAAAAATCTTACACCCCTGAAGAATTCATCCTTGTTTCATTAACTGATTATTATTTTGATGCAATTTGAATTAATTCAATTGCACTTAAATTTCAGTATAATAATTTTAGCCTTCACTAATTTTACGGTAATTTAATACGAGTTTTTTCACGCACGTTTATTTACGCAAATTATCCGGGTTTAATAATCTACAATTTTATTACTGTTATATATATATATATGATTGTAAAACATAAAACTATGAAAGAGAATCACTAACAAATTACAAACTTAATTGGCAATAACCCTTTTAATTCCTGGTTATGTTTCTGTTACCTCCCCCTTCAAAGATTGTGCCTCTGACGCCATTTTTTCATCATGAGTCATCTTCAGTGTGAAAGTTCCTATCCAATCTCCAATCACTGTTCAGAATTCAAGCAAAGGATTTTGCCACTATATATATTCCAGCTGTTAATACGTAGCCACTTTCCCCCCTCTGCTGTAGCTATAACCGTTTTATATCTTTCATCTATTATTTAATGATGTTATATGCGCGTATAAAATTGTAGGGCGCTCCTAGAATCCATAGTGTTGTGTAAATTAAGAAGAGATGTAGGGAAAGGGGCACAGGACCTTTGGGCTCGTCGAAACGGTCATAAAAATCCTCAAACTCGAAACACAAAAACTCACATTATATGATTAAAAGGTTACACTTTTTTTTACTTTATACCTTAAATAGAGCTTTAGACTGTAATGATGAAAATTGTAAATAATTTGTAATTAAAATTTTAAAATTACATAAGAGACATGTAAATAAAAATTATCAATGTGCGCACATCATAATTGAAAATATTGCATATAGAAGAATTTTTGTAAAAATGTATTCGAAATACATTCACTCTAATGCAAAACCAAAATATATTATAAAATGAATCTTAATTTTAAAATTAAAAAATGTTTTCAATCTAAAAATATGTAATTTTTTTATCATTTTTTCAAGGTAAACACTGCGCGCAACTTGACAATTTTTGAAAATCCATTAAAGATACAATATCACTTTTCTCTAATTTAATATTTTTCAAAAAATTTAAAATACACCAGAAGCTTAAACTACTTCTTCATAAACAATTATGAAGCTCATCAGCTTCCTTTTTTCCCTACTTTTGTAATTCGAGCTTAAAGTATTGTCCTGGGCTCGTTTCTGTGCGAATTTAATACGAATTCTATTGCTTCTTCCGCAAATGTTACAGTTAGTTTCCAAGTATACATTCTAATTCTTCATTATGAACAGCGTTGCCTGTTTTCCATCATTAAGTTGGCTACGCTTAATTTACAGAAATTTCTACAATTTTCTACTATTGTTTGTTGTTTTTCGGACAAAACGTCCAGATCAACGAATTTAGCGACTCGTTCACATTTTGTGTTCGACCACCAATGGCATCTCTTGCAAGACTGGGTGGGACATCTTTAAATACGGATTTTATAGCATCCATAATTGCTACAGGAACTGAATATTGTTACGTTTTATTTGTTCCACTTACAACTGCTCTTTTGTATGCGCTCACCAAGAATCAACACCATCGGGGCAAAAGTTATGAGTAACTTCATTATCGTTTGAACGTTTATGGTACTAAACAGCCCATATAGCTTTTTGCATAATGTGGTAGTTGTGAAAATGCTTCCTAATGGCATTACCACAATATGTTGTAAGTTGACCTATCAACACATCTGTAAGTCGATTTACCACTAAGAGGTTAATTGTCATACAGTTTCTTGGCACGGAATTTCTGGTTTAGTTCCCCCCAAACGGGCACCTATTCGTTTTTGAATGTGGCTCACACATCCTATCTTCGAAATCGGAACATTATATGCGGGTTATCCTTTTGTAAGGGCTAAGAAAAGTTTTACAATCTCCATCACCAATATAATTGACGCAACGAACACCAGACTTTTCTTCGGGAATCGCGAAAACATACTCAACATACCATTCGCTTCCAATTCTGCCAGATGAGCCTGAATGATTCTTATTGCATACTTTGTTATGTTCTATTTTCCATTTCAAATAGCTTTCTTTTGAGGATATATTTTTTTCCAGTCTCACAACCTTTGTAGTAAGAACTTGAAACATAACGATGAATAACTTTACCCGTTTCACCACCAATAACGGAAGTTAACCGAAATGTGAAGAATGTCCTCTGGTTTTCCATGTGCCATTTCCGCTAACGGTCAAATCTGAAGAAACAGTCATTTTTATTTCTTCGTCAGCTGCTATCTTCATACTATTTTCCACAATATTACGTGTAGCAGCATGCATATGACTTACAATTTTGTGGTATGACTTCTGTGTTATATCTGGTGGTAGATCCTTAATTCCACAAAATGTTCTGGATTCTGTCAATTTTCCAATACACCTCATTGCTAAAGTAAATCTGTTCTGTTTAAATCAGAAGAAGTTTATTTTTCACCTACAAGTTTGGAATTTTTTATAGATGTTAGTACTCCACAAGAGAAGCAATGAAATATTTATTTTTATGGTTAAACCATATACTACTTCAGAAGTAATGCTAATTTTATCATGGCAAATATGACAGCATAAGTATTCTTCTAATACAGAAAATAGTAAACTTTCAATAATTGCATACGCTTTAAATTCGCTGTCACCAGAAAGCTACTAAATGATCTAGAAGTTTTTTTGCTGATGCAGAGACATTTGCGTCTTTATCATTACTTTTTGTGCACTGATTTCCAAAAAACATTATTCCTTTTATTCTGGTCTTTGACCTGAAACTCTTTTCATATTATTATTCATTTTTAAATTTCAAAAAATATCTTTTAAACGTTATTCAGCAAAAAAAAAACTTGATACGAAAGACCGAAATAGAAACATTCAAAACGACTTAGATTCAGCGTGGAAATAAATTATAATGTCAAACTACCAGCAGTGAAGTTGAGTAGTTGCCATCCTTCTTCCCCTACACCAAAGGAATTAAAAAAAAAAAAGTATTAAATATTTCTGTGTATTAATATAAAAATATGAGCTCGTATACAGCGTAACCAAAATGTAAACACCACCTATGGTCCCTTTACACACGCGTCGCTGGTTTACTATCCGATATAAATTTCATAACTCAAATAATCCAATTTTGAACGCAGTTTTTGCATTTTGTTCAGAAATATTCATATATTCATAAAATGTAAAAATCTGAAAATCGATTTTTTGAAGATTTAAAGGTCCTGTGCCCTCTTAAGATATGTCAAAATTATTCGTCAAAAGAATAAATGATGTGATTATGAAGCTAGTAGGGCTTTTCGAAATTACAGTCATCTAATACCGAATTGTGTGGCCTGCTGTATTTATCATTATTTAGGCCATGATTAAAATGTTAATGGGAGCCTTCTTTCAGTCGCAACTAAATCATGATATATATGATAAAAATTAGTAAAATCATCTTTGATGAAAACTGAACTAAAATATTGTGGCGTAGATGAGGGTATCTTACAAATGAACAGGCAAGTACAAGTCTAAACTCAAGACTTTTTATTAACTCGAACTGAAAGAAGAGCTACTTAGATACAGCTGGTGAACATGCTGAATCATTCCAGACTTGGAATGTTCTGGAAGAATAAGAAGGAAGTTTACATAAAAACCAGTTATCAGGCATCTTGCCGTTGATGGGTTTCGAGTCCTGCGCCTTCTCCGCTAAGCTCTGAGAAGCTCGGTCGAAAAGAGCAATTTTCGCTACAATATAGTATATCAGATGCATGAAGGAAATATTTAGATTATCGACTCATCAATAAGGAAATTGTTCAACATATGTTTAGCGATATTTATTGTTTTTTCTTAGAATAGATGGGAAAATTTTGATCTGAATACTTTATAGTAACTTCAGTGAATTCTAATGCTTTTACGAGTCTAATGATGAATTTAAATAAGCTGTATTCTGCATCATTCCTTTAAATTTACCAAAATTATTGATTTCATTTATTTATTTAACATTTCTGTTTTATACAGGAAACCCAATATTTTCGATAATATGCTAGCCATGATGGAAAAGTATGCTAACAATCTCGAAGCACTTGTGGATGAAAGAACAGACCAGTTGATAGAAGAAAAGAAAAAAACGGACGCGTTACTCTATGAAATGCTTCCAAAGCAAGTATATATGTTTTTTCTGTGTGGTAAAGAATGTTAAACTTGCAATTAAGATAGATTAAGATAGATTACATTCACATTATTAAAAAGAGCTTACATAGTTACTGAAGCTTTGAATTATTAAAATAACAATCACGAAGATCTGGCTAATTACCATTTCAGATTTTTTTAGGGCCCTAGCGAACTGTATGTGAAACGTGCTGTTATTAAAATCTGTTTGCAATACGAACAGCCAAAAATTAAAATTTAGACTGAAATCGTATTAATGTAATCGTAATGTTTGACGTAGAAATTGTTGGAGGGAAATGGAATAGGGAACAGGGTTATCCACGCATTGAACAAAGGACGGAATGGAAGCAACACTGCTCATGAAATTAATGTGGAGAAAAATATTCAAAGCTTCTAAGATAGTGGTTCGTAACCTATCTTGCCTCATACTCTCCTTTCAACATTTCTAGATAATTATTCCTGTCCCTCCTTATGAAGTTAAAAAAATATACATATGCATTTATTAAAACTTAGATTATTTTCTTAATATCTTTTTATAAGTTTAAAAACAAAAAATACAAAACAATTTTAATACATATTTAATAAACTTAAATAAAATTAGCTTTTTATATTCATAAACAAACTAAATGCTTAAAAGCTAAATTAAAGGCTGCCTACATCCTTTCCTAAAACTTTGAAATTCCTCTAGGAGAAAATTTTCTTCTGGGTGAGAAATTCTATTCTAAGAAAACTGAACTGAGGGGTGAATTATATCGAACGATAAATTTGGCCTGCACAAAAATCAAAATTAATGTTTATTATTTAAATAACCGAAGTAATTAAAGTTTTGTTTTACTTCCTCCTGCTTAACATACCATATGCGCATATCGTGTTCTGAATTTCAAATATAATACATTTGTTCTGTGTATGCAAAACCTTATCCATCATGAATTTTAAAAATCCCCTTTGAACGAAGACGAAATAATTCATCTTTATAATTTGATTTTATTGTAAACACATCTATATTTTTTTTGCTTTTATTGAAACCACATCTGGTTTCTGATAAACACTACAATTTTTGCAGCAAACACTGCAATTATTACTATACTCAGTATGGTAATAGCAATGCTTTGGAGTGTGTTTCAATGTAACTGCAACCAGAGTTCATTTTCTTTCCTTACTTGTGCTAAATATCATGCTGAATTTCTATATTTGTTTATTCTCAAACTGCCCAAAGCCATTTCCCTCAAGCAAAGATTTTACTCTTTTAAAAAAAGGTTCGAAGAAAATCAACATAAGCTGTCGGAATTTATTCTTCTATCTGAAGATTTTGAATGCACATATCTAAAATGGTAGGCGATATCTTTTCAAGATCTTAGCGAAAGTAGCTAACGATTCTTCCTTTCTTTTTTGACTTCTCATTTAGAAATTTGCATAATTACTAGTCTGAAAGAATTTCACTTTTATCGAAAACTGTAATCATTGAAAAAAAGATTTAAGTCGAGCTTAAAATTTAAGATTTTTTTTTTTAATTACCTGTTATGTTACATTATAGTATTAAGTGAGTCATTATCGATTAGTGGGAGTTAAAACTGCAGGTTCTGAGATAAACTACAGCATGTTTAGCTCTTTTGAATATATTACTTGAAATATTAATTTTCAAACAAGGCGGAGTGTATGTCTGGACGTATTAAAACATCTGAGAAAATAAACACTTGTCAGACTTCAGTTTAAATGTAATTAATTCTTGCAAAGGAAATCACAAAAGAGCCTTAATTATTTTGAGATGATAGATTTTGGGATAAGCAGTAGCCCAGATGGGTAAAGTGGTGACTACGCTCACTGCTGTATTGAAGGACCCGGCTCAAACCACGGAAAAAATATGGACGTAGTAATTTGCCTGTCCCTTCATCGGAGGCAACAGTAAACCACGTTTTAGGTGCCTCAGTAATAAAGGGACCACAGCTTTCGGTCTTAGTAGTGGTTAACACTTTTAAACTACGACATCCGATTACTAAAAAAAAAATGTCTTTGGAGTGAAAGCTAAGTTCAATAGAAAAATGCAAAAGGAGGAAGAAATTTAAATTGCGTGAAAGGATGTGAATATTGTCTTATGAGCATAAAAAATTATGCCAATCATAAGTAAATCCAACATTGCCGCTACGCTTTCCCATTAAATTGTTCGACGTAATGTTCTAATAACTTATGTGCATATAAAATCATGAATTGCCACTAGTCAGTAATGTTTGTACTCTTTTTGCCCATAATGAATAATAGTTAAAAATAATATAACAAAGAGAAGTTAAAATAATCTCTTATATTTTAAGAAACATGATTGGTAAAAAATTGTAAATAGAACTCTTTGTTACATACTTCACAAAATTACTTATATTCTTCTCTAATAATTTACAGGAGGCAAATAATTCTTCACGTTTTACTGCTGATATTAATTGACTTCACATAAACCAATTATCTTTGCAGCGAATTGGATTTTGATTCTGGAAGAAATTTTCTGCCTTAACGTGTAGAGACATTAAATAATTTTAGAAGCAGGCAAGATGAAAAAATAGCAAACGCCTTCGCCAGGAATCGAACCACAGACCTCTGGAATACGGACCACTACATAATGAAGGCACGCCAGGAAGGCGGGAGAAATACCTTATAAACGTGTAGCTATAAGCACATATTTACCATTTACACCATTTATCAAAACTGGCACAAATACTTTTGGGAGCTACTTTTCAGTCATTTACAACTAGATGGGATATTCAGTTTGAAAATCTTGAAAATATTAGTTTAATTTTCTTATTCTGAGTAACGTAACTTAGGACATGTAAAATGTATTTTTGGGCTCATTTTCTCTACTTCATCTGCATTAATACGAGAAGTTACAAACGGGCTTTACAATAGAGAATCTCGCTATTTTGAATAGAACATAGAATATTTATAAATGGGTTATTTTCAATATTTTATTTTCAAAATCATATAACAGTCGGTAATTAATAATAAAAACTGAACACTCGTAGCGAAACCAAATCCGCCCACACGTGAAGAAAATTAAAACGCATTAGAAATGTCTTCTCTTAGAATACGCTCGTGATCACGCCAATCTGTTTTCTACAAAGTGAAAAATCTTCACTTGTGTTATTGGCTTGCGACATTCACACATCTCGTGATTCCATAGCATTGCGTATTTAACTGCCCCTGACATCGCCGTCCTCATTGGTACAATAGTTAGCGATGCTGGCTGTCGTAACTTTGGGCACAGGTTCGGATCCCTTACTACGCATAGAAGTTAGTAAAGTGTACAGTGTTTTTGCTTCATAGGTGCACCTAAATTTTTGTTTAGTCCACATTCTATTGGAGTGGTTTGGTGGTGGAGAAATTAGGATGGATCCGTCCAGGAGTGTTCGCCTTTAAGATTATGGCGGAGTTTTACAGTTTGTGCGGAGGCTGCTCCGTTCACTTCTTCCCCCTTCTTTCCATTTCCTATTTGTTCACTAATGTGACCAAATGGGAAAAGGAAAATTGGTACACTATACACTAATCATATGTTTAATGACATGACCTATGGCGATGAAATTCTTACGGAATCACTAGGTTCATAATATAGGAACTTAATATTCATGAACATATTTGTGAGTTACTGAAAGAAGTAGTAAATATGTGCATTTCAAAACTGTTTTCCATATGTATTTTCATTTACATTTATTCAAAATAGGTGGTACAACATAGTTCTGATTAATAATAGTATGTCTCAGGTGTCCTACAGACTTTTCTCTCTTATCATACCGTCTCACAGTCGTGCTAAAATGAATATGCGATGGCTGTAGCCACATTATGTGCCGCGTTGGCCAAGTATTACGTACGTAACACATTTACGAAAGTAAATAGGTGCTTGTCTCTTCGTTACTTCTTTCAGTCATACATCTTAACTCTTGGAAGGGCAACGGTTATTTACAGTAACAGTCTTTTCTATTGAACATCTTACTCACTTGTGTGAGTGGTTTTGAAGACTGACCGTTTCGGAAGCTCCCTTGTAGCTCACTAGATGGCGATCAAGAAACAAAAGCCAGTAGTTGATGCAACAATTCGTCAAGAAAATAAGCATCAGCCATTGAAGACATCACGAAAATGTGCACTCTGTAGCACCATGAAAAAGCCTGCTAGAACAGTGTGGGAATGCAGCACATGTAAAGTTGCACTGTGCTTGAAAAAGAAAAAGTGCGTTCATGAGTGCTATAAAGATTGATTTATAGGGATGTGCTCTGTGTGCGGTGGTGACTGACACTAACCACCAGAAGTGGTAATTTGTTTTAAGCGTCTTAAACAAAATATGTATAATTGTCGCAAAAAATTTCATTGTAACACCTGATACAGTAAATAAAACAAGAGTTTTACTGAACAAGTTAATTGCCTTTTCCTGCCCCTCAAAGATTTAAGGCATAAAAATCATTGAATTTATTCATACCTGTTTTAGCAAGGTTTAAGCTCCAGCCGGTCAGGGAAGGGAAAGTAGCACATGCCTAAATGTGTAGCAGACTCAGCGAAACCATCTACTGGTGTTTGCTTCACTGTGATTGGTCGGCTCTTATATCAGGTGGCACAAAGTTGAGAAGTAGAATATTTAGGTAAAATCCTTAAACGAATTTTTCTGTTGTAGCAAGGTCAAGTTGCCTAGAATTGGTAATTGCCTAGCACTGAAACTTTATAATAAATGTCATAACCTATACTATTCCCCGGATTGCTATAAACAAGGACAGATTATCATCTTTTCAAAAAAGAACAAAAATCCAGAAAACCCTCACTTGTACCGACACAGAAACCTATTATCAGTCATGGGAAAACTCTTGGGAAGATTGCTGATCAACAGAATCAAACATCACGTGCGCAAAGACAACAAAATCAGTATGCATCAATATGGTTTTAAAGCCTAAGAGCTCAACTATTCACGCACTCGATGCTGCACTCTCCCAAATTCACAGCAATAAAAGCAACCACATGCACTCAGC